CCCACTCCCGGGAAGAAATCCACTATCACAATCGGGTTTTCTACGTTCACCCGAATAACGTTTACACCTCACAATGTCGGTTTTCAACGCTCACCGATCAACGTAACACTCACACTCACAATGTCGGTTTTCAACGCTCACCGATCAACGTTCACTCCTCACACTCGGTTTTCTAGCTCACCGAAAACTTTACAATCTCACAATGTAACAAACAATAAATTTTTTCTAGCTCACCGAAAACTTTACAATCTCACAATGTAACAAACAATAAATTTGTTCTCTACAATAGATAAGAACACAATGAAAGCTCACATTCAATTGTTACAATTCTCACCAACCCAAATATACTATGTATGAAAATACGATAAGCTCATGTGGGTGTGAGTAACAATGAGAATAAATAAAACTTAACTCAATAAGAACTAACAATAAGATTGATATAAAATACAATAGTAAAACTGCTAGGAAATAGAGTTAAGGAAACTTCTCTATAAACACAAAGAGATGATGATAAAATATTGAAGATGAACTCTTCAACAACTGATGTAAGTTCCTCTTTGTAAAACCCCAAACTTAAAACAAACTAACCAAACTTAAACCCTTATTAAACTTTTGTTTTAAAAAACTTCTTGGTTACTGATAGAAGAGGGGTTGAGGGTTTTATATAGGAAGAGAAACCAACAGCCAAAAGCCCAAACAGAACAACAAAAATCCTAAAAAATCAGGAATACGAATCTGTACAAAAAGAACTGTTGGGGTGAACGGCGGTCGACCGTGGAAAACTCGCGGTCGACCGCGAGCCAGCTTTGAAACTCATAAAACTTCTAGAGACTTAGCGGTCGACCGTGGCGGGCGACCGTGGGGGCGGGGGGGGAGCCAGCTTTGAAACTCATAAAACTTCTAGAGACTTAGCGGTCGACCGTGGCGGTCGACCGTGGGAATTTTCGAGCTGACGGTCGACCGTGGCGGTCGATCACGAAAGTTCTGCAGCCCACTCAGCAAAAAACACAGGCGCGGTCAACCGTGGCGGTCGACCGTGAACTGATATATGAAATTTTTAGGTTTGAAAACAGTTTGCTGATTTTAAAACACTGTTTAAAAATATCAAATAAATTCAAGAAAATGTAAAACTTTAGAGAATGATTGTAGACATGATAATAAACATGCTACAAAGACTGGTTTGCAAAAAGGACTTCCCAAATGTAAAATATCATTATTTTGTAAGGAGATCCAAAACATAGAAATGTAAACATATGAATTTTGACATTTTAGTTTAACCATGTTTTGAAACATTACAAAATAATTTTGTAGACTTAATAAAAGATATAAACTATTGTTATGAAGTCTATAAACAATGAATATAATATTTTCACAAATACAATAGAATATAAAACATATGAGTATGTATATGAATATATATTTGTTTCATATCTATGAAATTAAACCAAAACATATATGTATATATATAACTATATATATACAAAACCAAAACGTGTATGTGTGTATATAGATTGAGCTTAAAGTACTAACACACATAATATAAAACTTAAACTTAATTTACCCAATCTTGATCTTGATCTTCGATGTAGCTCAACTTGGTACACTATGCGGATGAAGCTTGTAATGGATCTTTAACTTGATTTGTATAGGCTTCACTCCATAATTCCGCCAACCTCCATTTGAAATCATCGTTGAAGCGTAATTACATCCATCCTCCAATTCGTTGTTTGCCTAGAATAAATACGAAAACACAAATACTAGACAAACAACATTAGAAGTAAATTATTTGTTAAACATCATCAAAATAAAAAGGCCAACATGTTCCTTGTAGCCATAGGATAATCTTCCTTAGCTTGAATGATGCAACTCCTGACCTCATTTAGTTTGGATGATACAATTCCGTTGTCGTTCTTCACAGTGAACAGAATCATGCCCTTGTTTAGAACTTAGTATGTTTTCTCAAAAAAGGAGAGGAGACCCCACGATGGGCGCCAAACTGTTGATGTTAGGAATCATACAGTCAGTGAGGATCCGAAGCTGGAGACCCCACGGTGGACCAACATGAAACCAAGCTTGATCTGAGAAAGTATAGCGCTGCAAAAGTGATTACACTTGAAAAAATAGTATCATAAAAGGAAGATGAATAATGAAACCAATAAACCAAGGTGATTGATTTTACTAAAAATTAATGATAACTCTAGTACACTTTTATATGATAAAATCATCCACATAAGCATATAAAAGGAGAAATTTTTAAAACCAACCATTTTTAAAATTTAATAGGCAAAATCGACCTAAACTGAAAAATATTAGCAAAACCGACCCTTTTCAGGAGAAAAGGGTCGGTTTTGCAGCGGAGGGTGATTTCCGAAGTGCACGGGACTGCTAGTCCCGTGCACTTGGTGTTCAGCAAACCCGCTGCTGAAACCCAGTGCACGGGACTATCAGTCCCGTGCACTTGGTGTTCCAGCAGCTGCTCTCTGCTTAAAAGTCGGGACTAGCAGTCCCGACTTTTAAGCAGAGAGCACTACCCGTTTGCTGAACACCAAGTGCACGGGACTAGCAGTCCCGTGCACTCGCTGTGCACATTTTTGTGCAATTTTCTCTACATTTCAAGTAGTTCCTGTGCATATATCAACACAAACTTCCTCTAACAAGTCACATACTCATTTCACCACTGCATTTCATGTAGTCCCTGTGCATACATCCACACAAACTCCCACTAACAAATTACATACTGATTTCACCACATACTCATTTCAAATCAAACAAATCACATCACACCACAAACTCCCACTAACAAATCCAGCATAATAACACCACAAACCCACTTAGAAATCAAACATATCACATGATATTATCGACTACAAATCCAAAAATCACATCCCTAAATAGTTTTGTAATGTATATAACCTGTAGTTTACATACATCCAAGAACTCTCCTCCTCCTCCTTTGTCTTCGTCGTCCTCCATACCGCCCTTCGACGAGTTCGTGATCCGGTTGCGTTTGTGGTTGTGACGGTCCAGCTCCATCGTCGACACGTTGGGAAGGTCCAGCTTCATCGTTATTTCTGCGTCGTCCTCGACTTTGTCGCTGTTGTCGTGTATATACGAATGACCTTACCTCCCGTCCATCATGACGATCTTCGTGAGTTCGGTGTAAGGCTTGTTGAAGCCTCTGCATTATAGCCTGATATATTGATACATGTTCATGTGCTTCGGGATTTCTATCTGCTGCGATAGATAGTTCAAAAACAAAATTTCATATTAAATTTGATATTACAGAATGTAAATTTGAGATTTAATTTTTTCGTACCTGCTCGAGCCAATTCCAAACCACGATTTGCAAGAGTTTGAACTTCATCTATTGCTGATACCTGCAAATTTTTCAACACATAAAGTACCAATAAAAATGGACTTAAATCAAAATATGAAAATACTTACTAATTCTCTCTCATCTATACCCCGGGGCACATATCCTCTTTGCGACTCAACCGGTATTGTGGTCGAATGAAGTATCCATCTTCGGGTTATGTCCCAATACCAAGTGTAGTAATCTGATTCCCGAGGAGTTGGTTCAATTTGGTTGACAATACAAAAATGCCTATCATTCCATTTGTGTATAAAAGCTTGATGCACGATCATCCAGTTTATTTGTTGGCCTCCTTTCTTTGCCTTCCTCTCTATCTTTTCAACAAACTGCGGAACATGTTGTGCAAGACCATATTGTCGAAGCACGCGGTCCGGTACATGCATTTCTACTATCTCCAAACATATAAGAGGAACTCTAGCTCTCCATACAACTTGGTATTCTGTGCATATTGGGGGTAGCTGAGGTAGAAATTGGGTGTAGGGCTCCCATTCCATCTACAATAATTTATTGCAGTTGCATATCAGAATTGGGTTTTCAGTATGTAGAAGAAAAAACGCATGTTTTTCGGTGAGAATTACCTGAAAAATCTTCATACGGTCAAGCTCATTCCGGTAGAAATCTAATTGTCTAGCCGGGGTCTCGTCATAGCATTTTTCGACATTCCATCTACAAAAAAATATTTATCATACATTTAGTACCACAATGATAACTACAATTATATTCGCTACACTAAAAATACAATACCTGCATCCCAGTGGAATTTGTCCATCTAATTGTAAATGCGTGCATAGTCTTGGCTTCAAATGAAGTCTCTCCCATGCCCATACTTGCAATAAGCTTAGACACCCTTTAAGCTCACTGTTTTGCATAAGTGCCACTTTTGACATCTCTCTATATAAATACGCCAAAACAGCACTACCCCACGATTTTGTACCACATACGTCCAAGTCCTCGAGGAGTGGTAACCACCTAGCATATTCACAATATTCCAATTTATTAAAATAAGCTAATTCAATGAAATACAGATTCATATTATAAATACACATACCTCGCATGCACTTTATCTTTACTTGAATCTGGAAATAATATAGTACCAATCATGTGCATAATGTATGCACGTGCATGTTGGTCAACCAAAATTTGTGGGGCATCAACAGGCAACGGTACTGAGAAGGTCTCTCTCAACCACTTCAACTTAATAGTTCCTCTAGGCATAGTCTCTGGAGCTACACCTAACAACTCCTCACATCTTCGAGGCCATACATCACTATCAGTGCCGGTAATGCACGGACCATCTATACGGAGACCGAGTATCACGGATACATCTTGTAGAGTAATGGTAGCCTCACCCATTCGGAAGTGGAAAGTATTGGTCTCAGGTCTCCATCTATCCATCAACGCAATCAGTAGGGGCCAATCGAGCTTTATCCAACGAAGCTTTGAACAAGTCAAGAAGCCGGCCCGTCCCACAGCTGCTATGATACGCTCATCCTCTAACCGCCAACGGCTATGGCTGAGGCTATGATCAACCATAACGATACTCGGACCTCTCTGTATAGACAATGATAGTATAAGAATGCAATATTATGTAAATGCAAATATTACAATTATAAAGTAACTGAATTACCTCTGTACAGGATATAATATGTGAACGATGCTGAGCCTGGTCATATAAGACCTCATCACTAACCGGCCCAGGATCCATGGTGTACAAACCTGCACATATAATTATACACATGTTAATAATCAATCATATAGTAATTCAGTTTCTTTATTAAAGTATATAAAAATAAAAAAATGATATAAATTACCAATTAGTTGCTATCTATTGTGTCTAGATGGACAACGAGGTCGAGTATGTCCCGGTTGTTTGCAAAGACTACATTTTTTGTGCTTGACCACTCCTTCTCGCCCTTGATCCATGGTTCCCCTAATTCGCACAGATCGTGGTCGACCTGCTTGTCTCCGGTACTGAGGTGGAACTATATGTGGTCCATTATATTCAGGCCAATACCGACTATCATCAGGTGGATGAAAACTCTCACTATATGTCTTTTGATAGTGAGCTGTTGAATACCAAGGCGAGCAATACCGATTTCTGGGAATTCTAGCACCTCCCGGCTGATTAGAAGAAGCCGCAAGCACATGTGCACAGGGTATTTTTTGGAGTTGTGGTATGTTACATGTGCAAGTGCAATCAACATCAAATAGTTTAACGGTGTAGATACCGTCACAATCTTGTACCTGCCATTCGTTGTCGTTGAATACAGTAATTTGACATGATCTTGCTGCCTCAATTCTTCTATGCAAAATGGACTCATTTTTTGGTGTGTAACGTGTTGTCCAGTCTATGCCATCACCACGCCTTTTGTTGAAGTATGCGTTTAGTCTATAGAATGTTCTCGCAACCAAAGATTGTATTGGCATAGCTCGTGCTCCTTTAAGAACGCCGTTAAAGCTCTCGGAGCAATTAGTCGTCATCATGCAAAACCGCACACCCTCATCCTTACATAATGCCCACCGATGCTCGAATTGAGGCTTCAAGTTATTTTCAATCCAATTATGTGCATCTAATGACAAAGACTTGATTTTCTCCCTGCAATGTTCATACACTAATGTGTCGGTCGCACACCCGGCTTGCCACAAAAGATTTTGCAAATTAATCTCACCGTGTTTTTTCTTGAAATTATCTCTTATATGCCTTAAACAATATCGATGGTGATGTGGTGCACTAAAACCCTCATGTAACGCCCTTATAATTCCTTTCATCCTATCCGAAATAAAGGTAATTATTCTTGGCGCACGGACACTTGGAATCCACTTGTATATAAGTTCAAAAAACCACTTCCAACAGCAAATTTGATGAATATCCCTCTCAAAAATAATTGTTAAACCCTCTCATATGTAAATAATTGCTAAACTAAACCCTAACTCCCAAATTAACAGCAAAATTAAAAAGAAAAACACACCTGAGAATGGGGGTTCGGTGGGCGTCGATGGTGTCGGATGCGCGACGAGGTCGGAGGGCTAGGGTTAGGCGGCGACTGCAAATGGCAGGGGGTCGAAGTCGAAGTTGAAGGCTAGGGGTTGGGGGGGTTGAAGGCTCAGTCACGAGAGCGTCGGGGTCGGCGGCGACGGAAAATGGCGGTGATCGGCGGCGACGGAAAATGGCGGTGATCGGCGGCGGGGGTCGACGAGGCCAGCAGGTTTTTTTTTTCTTCGGGGGAGAGTGGTCACGAGATCGCAGAAGGAAAGAAGGAACGAAACGAACGAAAAGAAAGCGGAGTTAGTGGGGTAGGCGGACTGCACGGGACTACTAGTCCCGTGCAGTTCCGTAATTGCAAAATCGACCCTTTTCGGTTGTTTTTGCTAATTAATTTCTGAGACGGTCGATTTTGCACAATAAAATTGAAAAATGGGCTGTTTTAAAAATTTCTCCCATATAAAAATACTAATTTTTTTTATAAAAATCCTTTATAAAGATTCCTAGTTTTACTCAAAAAATTAAATTATTCTATAATAATTTACAAAATATTGTCTTTTATTCCTTCTATTTTATTTTTTTATTGAGCCAAGATCAATCATTCTCCATCTTTATTTTTTTCCCCTGGGCAATTCTAGAGTAGTGTGTTCATCGTCTACATCAATTGTAACATCAGGCTGGAGCTGGATTTCTTGTGTTGTTATCTTTTCATGAACCCAATCATCTTTTATCTTCTCGTCTAACTGCACAAAGAAGTTAAATGTATTTCCAATTTTTAACACAAACTTCTAAAAATACGGACTCTGGTTTTTTTCCTATTTCAATGAGAACAAATGTTAATTTCATATTTAAGGAATTTTTTGTGTTTTTAATTTATTACTTAAATAAGGGTAGGAATTGTCTCGTTTTTCTCTGTAATGAATTCTTCTCATGTCCATTGAATAAGACTTTTTGTTGCATCAATAATGTTACATTTGCTCTATTTGTGTTATTTTCCACGAGGATTCGAATTAAATACTTGTATTTTTTATTATCAATTTACTTTAGATTGTAACGTTAATATTTAATTTTGATATGTTTATTTCATGAAGAATGGATATGACTTAACATTGGTACTATGTCATCCGCGATTCTACAATATTTATCATTTGAACACTCATTATTATTTGTCCACCTTCTTGGTGTAGCATTTGCAAGCGTAGAATCACGGCTCAACTCTATTGTAAATAATATTTCTCTTTCTCTTAAAGGTGCAATAACGTATATGTGTATTGGTAAATTATTATTAGGTTTGATTGTATGAATTTGAGAGTAGATTTTCTAAGATCATACCTCTCACAAATATTGTGATGGTTGCATATATCAGTAATTTGAATTTCTCTTACATTTATAAAGAGCGTTAATGAAGATGTTTTTGTATTGGCAGCTGGATCTGAATGAGCCTTGTATATTAACTTAAAAATATAGGTGAAAGCTTATGTAAACTTAAGTGGATAGAAGTTAGTCATCCATCAACTTTTTTATCTATTGATGTTACCTTGGGATCCGTGAAAGATATGAAGAGTCTTTTGAGATTTGTACATCTCTTGATGGCACAAATCTAGAGGCGAGATGAGTGGATAAAAAGTTTGGTAGACAATGTCTCCTATCCACTTAAGTGGATAGGAGCTTTACTCTAAAAATATAATATTTTTTCTTTATTGTGTTAGATATTTTCTTAGTTTATTTACTATTCTCTTATTTATTCAGTAAGTTGTATCTTTGGGTTGATATATATTAGTGAGGAAAGTTATGATGACATGCATATCTACTCTACAAATTTAAGAAAGATACAAGGTTAATGTTAATGAGATACATTACCTTCATTTAGGGATCTAGAAATTAAATAATACTATTACATCATTATCTTTGGTCGTGTCTTCAGGAATTGATCCTTATTTATTCATCATACCCCAAAAAAAAGTAGCACAAGTCACGATACTGAACATGAAAAATAAAAAGGATAATTTATATGTTTTGCTTAGGCAGGGTTATGACATACTAATTTTTCTTATATCTTTCATAAAAACTATTTTTTTTAATTGGGACAAAGTCCATATGTTCTTCAAGGGGAAATCAGTTGGTGCTTCTTTGATGCTTATGCTTTATTTTAATAACAATTGAAGTGATTCATGGACGTTTTCAAATTTTGGTTTTATTTCCTTCATTTTTGCATTTGTAATGGAAACAACTTTATTCTTTTGAAGGATATCCTCAGAACTTTTTGATAGTTTCTCCATATATAAATATTTGTGTTTTTTACCCTATAAATATTATTAATGGCAAAAATTAATGTTTGTAAATTATAGTCAGTTGATGCTAAGCTATTATATTGTAATCTTTTGTCAAGTTTATGTGTTTTAGTCTTCAATCAATTAATGGTACTTATGTATTTTTGTTGCTCTAACCTGTTTGTAAAGTTATATATAATTACTTTAATTTATACAATGACATTAAGTTTTAATCTATCATATATTATTTTAATTTTTATTCATAAACCAGATATTTTTAATCTATTACTATTGGTAGCTTTTACCAGCGTCATCTTAGACTATTTTTAGATTTTGAAAAGGATAGTAAACCATAAATTCAAAATTAAATGTATATATCTTAATGAAATAATATCAAATAATTACTTTTTTTCTTTCCCAAGTTTTGAAACTTTAGCTTTTTTGTGATTTTCAACTTTTGAGGATCTGTTTTACAATTTTTAAAACTTGTGGAGCATTTTTTAAAGATTTTAAATTTTAAGTTAGGTGCCTGTAATGTTAAGATATTTCTTAGAATTCTAAAATTTTGAGGGTGTTTTTTGCAATTATGGAAATTTTGGGTTGTTTTTTACAAAATTTAAATTTTTAGTGGTGTGTTGATAATTTTCATATTTGATGTGTACTGCTTATAAGTTTTAGAGTTTTGAGGGGTTTTTTGTGATTTTAATTTTTTAGGGAGCTTTTTGCTTATAAGTTTTAGAGTTTTGAGGGGTTTTTTGTGGTTTTAATTTTTTAAGGAGCTTTTTGCAATATTTATAACTTTGAGGTTATCTTTTACAAATTGTAAATTTTTAGGGTGCTTTTTGTAATTTAAACTTTAAGGGTGTTTTTACAATTCTTGAAATGTTGAGGGTGTTATTTATAAATTTTAATTTTTTCGGAGGTTGCTATTAATTTTTAAATTTCATGTTTGTTATTTTAAGTTGTGAAATGTCAAGATCTTTTGTGTAATTTTAAACGTTTGAGGGTATCTTGCACAATTTTTAAAACTTTTTGTCCAATTGTTTATAATAATTCATGTATTATAGTATGTTAGTTATGTATGATTACTTTATCTTAATAAACTAATATCAAGAAGTTGTTTTATATATTTTAATATTTTTTTAATTATTGAGCTATACTTAATTCACAAGGTATTAAGATAGGATATAATTATAATTAGGAATTAAGATTTAAAGGAAATTTTTAAAATAGTGAAACATAATATTAACTATGAAAAACTTTTTCTAAAGTCGTATTTTTAAAGAGAGTATAAAATATAATATATAAATATAAAATAGATTAATTAGGAATTAAGATTTAAAGGAAATATTTAAAATAATGAAACATAATATTAACTATGAAAAACTTTTCCTAAAGTCGTACTTTTAAAGGGAGTATAATATAATATATAAATATAAAATAGATTTTTAAAATGTTTTTAGCAATTTATGTGAAAACGCTTCCATTGAAAAAAGTATACAGTAATCTATTAATCAGATTTTCACAAACAATGATATAAAAATCTGGATCAAGTTTCATGTTTGCTCAAATGTGAAAGAATTCACGGTTTGTGCGGTAAAATAACAGTATGATATTATGGGACACTAGGTCTGATTCACTTTTATAAATAGTTAGCAGATGGACAGTAGATTTACTTATGCACATGCACAAACTGATTCATACAGACACAAACATGGATGCCACTTTCTGCCCTACTTTTTAAGTTTTGAGGAAACAGGATTTAATAATATGCTCAATTCGAGTTAAAAATGCCAAATGATTTATTAGAAAATGGCTCTTAACCAAGAACAATTTCTATGTTTCATTAAGAAATAACAATAAAACAAGAATAAATGGGAAATTAAATAAAATCCTCTACATGCCAAGACTGATTTCCAGTCTGAGCAACAACTTAAAAAGCATTTACAGAACTTAGGGCAATGCATATTTACAGATACCATCGATGAAAAGGGATTTTGTAATTATAAAAGGGTAAAAAGAATAATTTGGAGATGACTCGAAACGGAAATGTAATTTGGTGATTATTGCCTCTTTCTCCGCAAAGTTCTATGATTTTGCCACGACCAAATTAAGAGGAAAATCGAGAGGACCAACCCCGCTGATGACCAAAAAACAATCAACCATTTAGGCATCGAGTCATGGAACAGACCTGTATATAGAGATATAAATTAGGTTACAAGTTGAATAATAAAAATAAAAATAAAAAAGTCCGTTAATGAGTGTGATGCAAAAAGTAAATCAATTTGGGTTTTCTCATATAGATTTATTTCAGGTTAAGTGCATGGTTTTATAGGATGACGCCCACATCTATGTCAAGTCATCCAAGAATGCAACTTTTGCAATTCTTTAGAAGTATTCGGTTTTACATAACAAATCGAGATCAAATTCTAGCTCAAATGACATAATAAGACTTACATTTGGGAAGTGCCCTACCATAATTGTAACAGTACCGTCAAAACTGGTACTTTTGCAATTATTGTATCCATTTGATGATTGATATGCTATCTAATATTATTTTCAGATCTAGTTAAAGTAAAATGCTCACAAGAAATACTGTACAATCAATTAAAATTTTATATAAAAAAAATCTAAGTCTTGCTTGTGTGTGGGAAGGGAAAAGAACACTTACCATGACCAAATTTGATACATATAAGAAGCTCCACGATGCATATGGCTAGGGCAAGCCAACAGAATGCTCCGACTTTCTTAACCGGTTTACTGAAATCACAAGCCATATAAAGTTGTATATAAGGAACAACGCATTTGTCTTTTAGGACTCTCTAATTTTACAAAATAAAAAAAAAAGAGACCTGTCTTGCAAATAAGTATTGTACTCGCGGATAGTTGGTATCGCGATTAGCCACCAAAGCACAAGCCTATATATGACTACCGGATTTCTTGGTGGAATCCAAAGACAGAATTTGAGGAAGAAAGTATTGAGTTCAACGATCATGAACACCACACAAAGACTCAATACTTGGATGAACCTCCATGGCCCAAGAAGAGGATGCCACTCATCTTTGTCCCATCGTGCAGGTGTGAACTGACCCAATGTTCTTTTCACCTTGAAAGTAGCCAACAAAGTCATGAGCAATAATATTAACTAACTGACGAAGATATAAAAGTGAAGAGAGAAAAGAAGGCCAGAACAACTTTCCATGAAGAGATGTCAAAGTCTAGCTTGAAAAATTATTTACAAAGCATGAATAATTTTAGAAAGAAAAACCAGATGTGTGACCTTTTGGGCTGTTGGGTAACTTTCACCATGTTTTGGAGAAAGCCAATGGAAAGATACTGACGAGAGTGGAACTAAAATTTTATTCTCTCTCCTTATCTTTTCAGCTTGAAATATTCACTTTCTACTTTCCATGACAATCTAAACAGCGGCTGAAGAAAGTTAATGTCGCATTAGTTGCCTTGCCACCTCACCTTTACACATTTCAGTTGCCAAACACCCCTTTAAAACATCCTAGTGTATCTAAGAGACCAGCAACGAGAATTAAGTCACATCCTTCATACAATAAAAGATTCTTATAACTACCTCCACCTGAAATCTCCATCTTATGGGGAAAAAAATCTACATATATAACTTGTCAGATACTAGAATCTTCAAGTTTTTGCACAGATTCCTTTTTCTATCAATGTTAAACCAGGAAAAATGGGTAATATTCTTGCCATGTGGACATGCATGTATGTAGTACTGTAAACCTGGAACGCAGTGTCCTCCATGCTTTATTGTCCATAATTATAGTTCACTCCCCAGTTGGTATTTTTATTGCATGAATATCATTACGCAGACAATTGCGTATGCAGATATCAGACCGGTAGACCCCCTCCCCCCTAAAAAACAATGTATAGTGGAAACCCAAAAGCTCCCCAGTGGGACTTCCTGTTAAAAGTTTAATGATATTTGTTCCTCTTGGCTCAAAGCCTCCCTCACCCCAGTCTACTCTCTAGGGGTTTGACAGAGCGGACTAGGGCTTAAAAGCTTATTGGGGCGGGTTTAAGGTTTATACAGACCTGATCATTTGTTAAGGGCAGCACTACACTTTAGTGTACTAGATGTTCTTCTCTCTACAGTGTATCCATGTCATATAATGTATCATATCTTCAAGTCCCTTTGTGGCGACAGCATACAGAACTCTTTGCATTATTCACTGATCTTGGTCATCTTTTTCCTTCCATATATCAGATTCACTCAAAGTTTCCAGATTCTCTTTGCATTATTCTATTTGGATGTTTGTAGATCACATTGTTTCTAAGCCTGATCTTGATTCACTCGAAGTTTCCAGATTCTCTAGCTAGTTAGATTAAAACTTTCCATCCCAATAAAACCATAGTTTTTAAGAGTTGGTTCATAAGGACTGAGATATCTTCTTAAAACCTCAATAAGAGTATGTACGTACAAGTATGTTTGTGTACATACATGCACAAGCTCCGGCATGCCCATGAGCAAACATGTACATGGATGAATACAACTATAGAGGTAAGGGATCTCAGAGACTTGATCATGATAATCTTTCATAATATTGAGGTGGGTTTTGTGGACTACATTGTTCTATCGAACTACATTTGAACTCAGCTCGACCCCACAAAATTCAGTAGGAGCTTGTTTCAACAGCAAAATGACAGTATGCAATATCACATGATTGAATATTTATGGTAATAATAAATTGATTGTGATGAAAGAGGTCAAAACAAGCTGTAGGTTTTGACCCCTCCCACATGACAAATACGACACTCTTAACTGCAAAGATCTAAGTTTGAAACATACCATGTGCCAAATGTACCACTCTTAACAGTGATAGGATAATACTAGTAGAACCAATTGTAAAAAGATTAGGGTTAGTTTCTCTCATTGAGAGACCCCTCTTTTATATTAATGCATTCTTACAACTAGGTCTTTACAACATTGACTAATTCACTTAGTATCTAAATAACTCAACACTCCCCCTCAAGATGGGCGATAGATATCAATCATCCCCATCTTGTTACAAAAAATATCATACTCTCTAGAACCTAATCCTTTTGTTAAACAATCAGCTAACTGCTCTTCTGATTTCACATAGCTTAAAGTCAGAACTGCTCTATTCAGTTGCTCCTTGATAAAGAACCGATCAATCTCCACATGTTTGGTGCGATCATGCTGAACTGGATTGTTTGTAATATTAATCGCCGATTTGTTATCACACCAAAGTTGTAAGGAGTCTCTTCTAAACAAACGCAGCTCAGATAATATGTTTTTTACCCACATCAACTCGCACAGACTAACTTCCATAGCTCTGTATTCGGCCTCAGCTGTAGACCTAGCCACCACATCTTGCTTCCTGCTACGCCAAGATACGAGATTGCCTCCAACAAATACACAATAGCCTGTAGTGGATCTACGATCATCCATACAACCCGCCCAATCAGCATCACAATAGCCTTCAATTCTCAGATGTCCAAAACTCCTGAACCATAACCCCTTTCCTGGGCTTCCTTTAATATATCTAAGAATTCTGCGAACTGCCTCCATATGCTGCTCTCTAGGATCATGCATATATCTACTCACCACACTCACTGCATGAGTAATATCAGGTCTCGTATGGCATAGATATATAAGTCGTCCAACCAATCTTTGATATTGCTCTTTACTCACAGGGTCCCCACCCTCGACACTCATCTTATAATTCTGCTCAATAGGAGTAGATGCAACTCTACACCCCAACATCTCTGTCTCTGAGAGAAGATCCAGAGCATACTTCCGCTGAGAAAGCACTATACCCTTTCGCAACCTTGCAATTTCAATTCCGAGAAAGTACTTCAACTGTCCCAGATCTTTAACTTCAAATTCCTCTCTCAATTTCTTCTTCAACAGTAGGATTTCCTCAGCGTCATCTCCAGTGATTACAATATCATCAACATAGACCGTCAGGATAGTGATACGAGTTTTGGAGTGCCTGTAAAACACAGTATGATCACCATTGCACTGCTTGTACCCCATACTACAAACTGCCAACCTGAATCTATCAAACCATGCCCTCGGAGACTGTTTAACCCATACAAAGACTTCTTCAACTTGCACACCTTCCCAGTTACTTGAGAAGTAGTGAAGCCTGGTGGAATCTCCATATATACCTCCTCTTGAAGATCTCCATGCAAAAAGGCATTCTTGACATCTAGCTGATGTAGTGGCCAATTAAAGTTGGTAGCACATGACACCAACACTCTAACAGTACTCATCTTTGCTACTGGAGCAAATGTCTCGTCATAGTCAATACCGTATGTTTGGTTGTAGCCTTTAGCAACCAATCTGACCTTGTATCTGTCGATCTTGTCCTCTGGAGTTTGCTTAACCGTATACACCCACTTACATCCAACAGCACGCTTCCCAGCTGGCAAAGGTACCAACTCCCATGTGTTATTTTTCTTCAAGGCCTGGAGTTCCTCGTGCATGGCATTCAACCACCTAGGATCTTGCTTAGCTACCTGCCAGTTGTTAGGTACATGCACTAAATGTAACAATGCAATGAATGACTTATATGCAGGTGGAATGGATGCATATGAAATGTAATTCGCAATATCAGTATCCCAATTACCAAACTTAGCTGGAGGTTTTCCAGCATTGACTCTAGAGGTTCTGCGGGGCAAGACAGGAGTATCAGAGGTATCAGGGAAGGAATCGTTACCTATCGACTCAGGTGGAGGAGAAAAGCAAGGCACTGGAGAGGAAGAGGAAGGCACTGGAGAGGAGGGACTTGGGTCATCAACATTTGTGGGTACTGACACAGGCACGGGAGGCGGCTCATACTGCTGTTTCTGTCTCCTTGTGTATACTCTCAGCTCCCCCTGACTTTGACTACCAACTCCTAAGTCACCACCACTACTCGGCGATGTACCATCACTACTCGGTGACTCAAGAGGACATGGAATCATCCCGACCACAATATCATTCTCATTCTCATTCTCCCCCTCTCTACTAGCATCAGTAGAGCCATCTCCGAACAAGGAACTCAACTCCGTCTTCTCCCCATAAAAAGGTTCAAACTCCCAAAAAGTCACATCCATACTGACAAACAGCCTTCTTTCAGTGGGGCACCAATACTTGTATCCTTTTTAACTTGATGAGTAGCCAACAAAGATACATTTAACTGCTTGCGGATCCAGTTTACCCATCATCAACCTGTGATCTCTCACATAACATGTGCATCCAAACACTCTTGGTGGAACAACAAAAACATTCGAGCCCAAAAGCATCTCACATGGTGTCTTCATCCCTAATACTCTTGATGGCATCCTGTTGATCAAATAAGCTGCTGTCATAACAGCCTCACTCCATAAAAACTTAGGCACATTCATTGTCAACATCAATGAGCGTGTCACTTCCAGTATATGCATGTTCTTACGCTCAGCCACCCTATTCTGAGCAGGGGTGTCTGGGCAGGTGGTTTGATGAACAATTCCCTGATTAGAGATGAAAGCTGCAAACTCCTTATTTAAATACTCAGTCCCATTATCTGTTCGAAGAATCTTCACCTACACTCCAAACTGTTTCTTCACATAAGCCGAGAAATCTTGAAAACATTTGTAAACCTCTGATTTCTGCTTCATCATGTATATCCAGGTCATACATGAATAACAATCAATGAAAGTAACAAACCATCTAAAACCACTGATAGAGGTAGTAGGACATGGTCCCCAAACATCAGAATGGACAAGTGCAAATGGTTCGCAACTTCGAAGACCAATCATTCTATAAGTAGAACGAGTATGTTTTCCAAGTTCACAGGCATTACAAAATAACTCTTTTCTATCCACTTTCTTCATTAACTCAGGTTCTAATCTATTTAAACTCTCAAAAGATAAATGCCCTAACCGGCAATGTTGAAGCATCGCTTCTGCCTCTGGCCCTCCGCTAACAGCAGCAGCAATTATTGCTGTCTCCCTGTCCAAATACCAAAGACCATCACGTCTGATACCAGTCTCAATCCTCCTCCCCGTTCCCTTCTCTTGAAAGACACACAAATCTCGATCAAATAACACGGTGCAATTTAATTGATCAATGAGAGAGTTGACTGAGAGTAAGTTAACTAAAAACGAAGGAACATGTAATACTGATGACAAGGTAACAGATGAAGTGCAATGGACCGAACCAGTACCCCTGATGGGTTGGGATGTCCCATCAGCAGTCTGAACTATCTCAGGATGCATATGCTTACTCGGATAATATAATGCAAACTCACTAGATGTTCCTGTGACATGCCTAGATGCACCTGAGTCTATGATCCAATCAACATGAGTTTTAGTGGATGCAAGTGCCTGAACCTGTGTACCTTTGTTCGCACGAGCATAACCAATAAAGTTACCAAAGCATGTAGTGGTAGCCAGATCCTGGGTGACTTGTCCCTTGCCCTTCGAACTCTCAGCCTGAAGCTTGAACAGACGTAGTTCCTCCAGCTCTGTTATTTCAGCTCCAGTCATCCCAGCAGTAGTCTGAGACTCATCTGCCACAGCTAGGTGAGCAACTCCTTGGCCTATACGCCCCCTGCCTCCTCGACCTGCACGGCCACCAATCTGACCACGTTCACCCCAGTTCCTTTCTCTGGGTGTCTTAGGGCATATCTGTCTCAGATGCCCTACCTCTCCGCAGTTGAAGCACTGCCTAGTCTCCACTTTGAATCCAGTGTTATCCGGGTTGGATACCACCAGTGCAGACTTCTCCCCTGTAAGTCTACCTATCCCAGACTATAGCCTGATACGGCTCTCCTCCTGTATCATGGCCGAGACTGCCCTCTCTAGTGGTGGGATCTTCGTCTGGGTTAGTAGCAATGTCGTCCTCTGCTCATACGCTGGAGCCAAACCTCGGAAAAACAACATGGTCCTCTTCTGTAAAGAGGCCTCGCGCTCCTTGCACTTAGGGTCCTTGCAGCTCGCTAGGGGCGAGAAGTGATCGTGATCGAGCCACAAGCGCTCCAGTTCTATGGCGTACTCCTGTACAGTCCTCTCTCCCTGGACTATAGCGCTGATCTTCTTCTCGATCTGGAATACCCTCAGGTTGTTCAACTTCGTGATGATCTCCTCCATCGGATTTTTTCCAGTCTTTGTCATCGGTCCAACTTCTATTCTTGTGGTGCGCAACGAAAAAATTCCGACAGCACTTCGACAGTACAACAAGATAGATAAATCAACAAGAATTCTTGTTTCACCAAGGAAACAAGAACCAAGAAGCAATATATCTTAATAAAGTGAGATATCAGCTCTACTCTCATCAGTTCTAGGACTGACTTGTCGAGGGAACCTAAATAAACTATTACAAATCAAGAACCTCTCTCTCTTTCTGTTTTTTTCCTTTTTTTCTTTTTTTTACTGTAGCAGAACCAAACTACCTACTCATCTAATACAGATCCCCTTTTTCGTCTTCTCTTCCCCACAATAAAAAAACCCCAAATAAAAAAAACCTAACTTTTTAAGCCCCCCAAATCAGTCATTCATTGCCTTCGTCGATTTGGGAAGTTCTGCCTCGCTAGAAGAAATTGGATCATTCCTTCGTCGATCTCTCACTACCTCGCTCCTCATCAGCACCGCCGCCAGAGCCTTCAGATCGTCGACCTCATCAGCACCGTCGCCAGAGCCTTCAGATTCTTCCACGTCATCAACCACGGCGTCCGCCGTCGACCATCCTCGATGGCGCAAACTCAGCCGTCCGATCTTTCCACGAGCTCCCCGTCGAGATCCGATCCTGATACTTCTCCCGCGAGTTCGTCGGTGGCGTCTCCTACGCCTCGAACTTCGACCTTTTTTTCGATCCGCCGCTGCCAGCTGATGGGATACAGTCCAGATCTGGTTCGGGTCTACGAGGACATCTACGACACCATCTCTCAGGCGACGTCAAGGCCGCCGTCGACCACCTCTCGGGGTTCACCGTGGCGAGCAGGTACCGATCAGCCTTCGTCCAGATCAACCTCGACCACTAGCTTCCGACCTTCACTGGGTCGACCTCGACCTTCGAAGCAGGTAAACTTCGTCCACGCTCACTCGGATTTGGTTGGAGCTAAAGAGGGAGGCGGCTAGGTTTAGGGCTCTGATACCATGTAAAAAGATTAGGGTTAGTTTCTCTCATTGAGAGACCCCTCTTTTATATTAATGCATTCTTACAACTAGGTCCTTACAACATTGACTAATTCACTTAGTATCTAAATAACTCAACACCAATAAAAGGGCAGTTATTTCAAATATGAAATCTTTCAGTAGCCCAAAGTGCCATTCAGTCACAGCTCCTATAATTTACATCTCAATAGTCTAGACTTGACATGAATGACATAAACATTGAATGCCATAGCATAGAATGCAATATTAATGTTGCCGTAGTTTTAAATAATGGTAAATAGAATAGCATTGTGGTGCAAGAAACCTGCATCACAAGTTTCAAGTTCGAGGTGCAGAGCCAGATAGAGGTTACATATGAAAGCAACTTCAAGAAAATTATCAAAAATCCAGGCCTTCGAATGCAAAAGAGACCTATAAGTTAGCATATGGAATCGTGTCCCTCAATCTTCACCGAACTTAGAGGTTTTATACATTGCTAAAGACTTTAGGACACATGCAGCCCCTTAATACAGAGAATGGTTTGAACTTGTGACCTAAGCATTACTTGAAGAGTTCAGGAAAAATGAAGTTGACAGCATGTGGAAGTTTCACGGTCAACCGCGAATGGTGTGGCGGTCGACTGCAAACATGCACAGCACAGGGAAAAGTCTCTGGACTTTTGACGGTCGACCGTGTCGGCTGGCGCGGCGGTCGACCGCGAGCTGTAATCAATTTTTAGTTTCTGTCGTTGGCCACGGTCGACCGCAACTGGTGCGGTAGTCGACTGTGTGTCGGGTCTGGGCCTGGGCTTGGTTTCCTGCTCTGTTTGGATTGTTATTTGATATGTAATCAAACACTATTTTCTAGGGTTGAATATCATAGAATTGTTAGACTTCTGAGCATATTGAGAGGGAGAACTTGTGAGCAAGTAAGAGATCTTTTGGTTAGGGATTGTTCGAGCGATTGAGTGATTGTAACCCTTTTGTACTCTCTTTGATTTAGTGGAATCTCTCCATCCTCTACCTGATGACGTAGGCAAATTTCCGAACCACGTATACCTCTGTGTTTGCGATTGGTTTGTCGTTATTTGGATTGAATTGTGTTCGTGTTTGGTTTGGTTATCTTCTCCCGGGACTCGCGAACTCGTTTGGTTGTGAGCACGCTTCCGCAAAGGCGCGCAACATTACTACCAATTCTCCTCAATTTCCTAAATCCTAATACTATAAACATTTTTCTTGACATATAATTAGTTTAATATTTTAACAACCAGTACTAGTTAGGCAATTAACATACATATCAGAGTAATGGAATGAATTCATGGAAACAAGAGCTCAATATCAAAAGGAGTAGCTTACATAAATGTTAAGCAAATGAAAAAAAAAGTACTTGTAACAGAACATACCTTACCAAGGATATTTGGCTGCCGGCTTATACCAACCCATTCATATGTTTTC